ACCGCTGCTCCTTTCACTGTCGTGTGCACAGTAGACAAGCTTAAGTCGACCCCCTGCTGCAGCAGTCCCCAACCCCCGGGCCACCGACTCGTACCAGTCCGTGAGAGTTGAGGTTCAGGTCTGAAAGTTATGGTTTTCAGGGTTTTTATCGTCTACTCGGTCTTTTCCCGTGTTGTAGTTGTGTGTCTTATTTTGAAAGAAATATTTACGCGTTGCCATAGCTACCAGAGAGTATTAAGGGGGCAGAGAGCAGGATGTTACTCTCAGTGTTGTTGGCGCATTTCAGGAGGACGCTGCTAATGAAGTTGCACGATTAAACAGTCAATTCGTGTTTATTATTATATTTACAAAATACCACAGTTTTTGTGTTGGTCGTATCATTTTATTTTGTTGTATTTATCCGCGATACCTTAAGGGCCAGTCCGTGAAAATATTGTCTAACATTAAACCGGTCCGTGGCGCAAAAGAGTTTGGGGACCACTGCCCTGCTGGACAACTTTCACTCCTTTTAGGCAAACAGTGCAACCATTAAGTTTGCTGTTAAATCTGTTTTGACCACTGTTAACACAACACAATAAAAATTTGAAGAATATTTTCAAAAAGGGATTAAAAAGACAGACAAAATAGAATCGAATTCAACTTTATTGTCATTGCACATGTCACAAGTACAAGGCAACGAAATGCAGTTTGCATCCATCCAGAAGTGCTTTAGCCATGATATAGATATATTACAGAAATGGGTCTGTTATAGGTATGTTACAATGTACACGGTATGAGGGTATGTTATGAAAGATATGTTATGAATATGCAATAACTATAAGTATGTACAGGCTATGAACAGGATATAAATATGAAAACTATACAGAAATATGAACTATGCAAGTTATAAACAGTTATAAACAGTTGTAGAACTATAATTGTCGTATTGTACAGAATGATTGTTTATACAGAATTATACAGTAGTGCAGTTAAGAAAAGTGAAATATGTGGATAATTTCTACAGAGGCTATATAAAATGCTAGTGGTGGTGAGTGTTGGTTCAGTCCATGTTATTATTGTGTGTATGAGGGTGTATGTGTAAGAGTTGTCCATTTGTTTGTTTTTTGTCCATTGTGTGTGTGTAGGTGGTTGTGGGTGTGTGTATGTTCAGTCCGTGAGTTTAATCTGAGTTCAGGAGTCTGACAGCTGTGGGGAAGAAGCTGTTCCGGTACCTGGTGGGCTTAGTCCGGAGGCTGTAGCACCTCCCAGAGGGCAGGAGGGTGAAGAGTCCGTGTGCTGGGTGACTGGAGTCTTTGATGATTTTCCCAGCTCTTTCCAGACACCGTTTCCTGTAGATGTCATTTATGGTGCTCTGGTGATGCGCTGGGCAGTTTTCACAACCCTCTGCAACGCCTTCCAGCCTATTGCAGAGCAGTTCCCGTCCAGACTTTTATACAGGTGGTCAGGATGCTCTCGATGGTGCAGCAATAGAAGTTCACCAGGATGTCTGAGGACAGGTGGTTCTTCCTCCGAGTCCTCAGGAAGAAGAGGTGCTGGTGAGCCTTCTTGTCCAGCTTGGAGAAGTTGGTCGTCTTGAAGCTGCTCACACGCTCGACAGCAGTCCCTTTAATGTAGATGGGTGGATGCGGGTCAGCAAAATGGTATCCCTGAAACCTTTTACATTGCCTTTTATCTTATTTAATTCTTGTTTATCTTTCTCATTCTTCCTCTCCATCAGACCTGGGTGCAGCATGCCAGAGATCTGGGATATTGAGGACCCCCAAAATGTTGGTAAAACCCCCCTCTGCACCCATATTTCCAGGAACTCTCGACCCCACTTTACCACAGTGTTTTCCAATGACATTTACAAAGTTCTCAAAGTCCCCAAAGCCACCAAAGATCTCAGATAACATCGCTGGACACACTGGCTCAACACCAAACTGTTCGTTGCGTCACTTCTTTGTCGTGCATTTTTTGGTCACTCACTGCCGTTGCTGCTTTTTACTTCCCAAAAACCCGGTTCCACATTTCTTTTGTTACTCTGATTCACCAAACAGTGGCTCAAAAACAGGTTGGACATAACAAACAAGTATGCCATGAGTCTAAAACCTCTTGGTGGCGTCACAGCTCTCAGTATTTTTAACTCAGAGTCTCTTTCCAGACTAGCTATTGCTGCGTTGTTGTCACTAGTGATGTTCATTATATGAAAGCCAGGCGGTGGTGGTTGTAGCTCTCCATTTAGCTTCCTGGCATTGGTCTTGTTACATATATTCCTTATTTTAAGGGATGCTCAATTACATTTGTATAGTGTTTTTCTTACTGTGTAGAACTGATTTTGACTTTCACTTCAGAAGTAAACTTTTGTCTGGCAAGACCAATCAGTGATGTCCACATACTGTGAAGCAATACCCTCTGCAAACCTGGCAAAAGCTGACTTCTTCTATTGTTATGCACAGTGTTGATGTATGAAACGATTTTTCAGTAGTACACTATTTTTATAATTTATTGGTGTCACCGTTTTTATGCAACTTTAAAAGTGTTGAAACATTTTCTTTTCAAGCAAACAGTGTTTTGAGACTTTTGGGAGTCTTGGAAGAAAATGATGTTCTTGTGTTTTAAAATGTACATAACATTGATGTCTATGTGAACTGAATTCACTCAAAAAACATTTTTAGCTTAATTGGGAGCAGAGCTTTTGTTGTTGCTTCAGTAATAGTTAGTTTATTGTATAATTTTTATGTCCGAGAAGGTAACGAAAAAAACATCGATTTCTTTGAGTCTGTTTTTTGTAAATACTGACTACGTTGTTTTGTAAACTGCTGATGGCCTTTAAAATGTTCTTTGTGCTTCTTGAATTATTGTTTGTTGCCAAAGGAAGTTTTATTATCAAAGCTGCATATTCAGGGTACTGTAGCATATGAAAAATTCATTTTTATGTGACAGCCAATCAGTTATTCGTAGCAGTAAATTTTATGGTAATGGTAGCAGTCGCCGGTTCCTTTTGTCGGACCACATTAAAAACATGCCTCATTTGATTTATGCCATTACTTGAGAATAACAATGCCCCTGTCATGTCTGTTTAATAAATATGTAGCTATAGCCAGAAGCGGATCAGCTTGGCTTATTTTGGCAAAAGGACTGGAAAATGGGGAAAAGAGTTTAACTGGCTCCTTTAGAGAGTTATAGGAAAAAACATAACAGGTCATAGTGTGATAACTTGAAAACGAGTTGACGTAGGATTTTGAAATTGATACCATAAGTGCGTCTACTAACAACTGCTGGCGACCTCGTCGTCAAGGTCAGAGGTCAGGTTTTCTGAAAATCTTGTAACAGGATGACTCCAGATGGAAGTCCAATTGATTTTCAGATTGATGGCATAGGTGCTTTTACTAAAAATCTGCAACAAAAAGTCTGAATCCCTTTTAGGGAGGAAGTTTGGTGACCTTGGTCTCAAAGTCGAGCTCAGAGGTGAATCTTGGGAACATGACACTCGATTCATACTGTAGGTCTGTTTGCTAAAAATCTCAGACGAGTTTGAATCCCAGTGACCTCGACCTCAAGGTCAGCTTTCTGAAAACCACCTAGGCCATGAATTACTTGTTTAAATAAACCTGAATCTTCACGTCTAAAAGTCGATGGCTTGATCAACAGCTGATGGCTCAAGTTACATTAATATTTTCACAATTTACAATAAAGAACTAAGATTTTGCTCATTCCCTCAAAATACAGCTGTTTCTTTTATTTCTTTTTTATCTCAGAGCAGAGTTTAACCGTTCAGCTTCAGCCGCCTACAAACAGTGAAGCTTGTTCTGCTTTTCTGATTGTCTGTGGTGTCAGGAACGAACCTCAGAGACCATTCTCGTGGGATTTTTACATTGCAAAGCAAATTTCTCATCAAAGTTGAAATATTTTAATTTGGGTAAACATGGTTTTGCCTGTAATGCTGCAGTTTTCCCTATTTCAGAGATTTGGTTGGTTTATTTGTCTTAATAATAATCAGATTCAATAAACCCTTGGAGTTAGTTTTATGCCTGTTAAGATTCATAAGTGCCATGACTCCTGGTGAAGGAGTTTTTTAATCTTTTCAGACTTGTATCCCTCTGTGTAATCTATGAATCTCTGAGCTTCTTTACTGATGTGTAATTAATATTAAAATGACAGTAAAAACCGGCACAATACACTTTCGTACACTTGTGTTTTACACCCTGCAGCACCACAACTCACCGTGGTGCACGGCCTGCAGAAACAGCTGTTTGTCGCACTGTGCTGCTCTTAGGTGGTGTGATGAAAATGTTTTCCTACAAAATCACAATTCCATGTTCAAGTTTCGTTTGTTTGCTTGTTTTTCCTCCCAGTCCTTGTGCGGTGAGACACAAACTTGTTGGCTATAGCTTAATATTTGGTATACAGACATGTGGTTAGTGTGGCTCTTTTAAAAATGTAAAACTATTCCTGTGAGAGGAGTGAACCACCTTCACCAACAGGAGTAACTCAACCGTCACCACTCAGGTGTTTTTTCTATTGCCACTTTTCTTCATAAGATATTTCCTCCAGTCATTTATAAAAATGTCTCAATGATTGTTTTAGTTTATATTAAAAAAGCTGATTTTGTTTGTTTTCTTGACAGATTAAAGATGTGTCTTGGGGTGAATAATTTACCTGACTTTGGAATCAGGAATAAGAAAACAGTTTTCAACAAAAAAAAAAATCTTATCTTCACGGTTGGAAAAAGTCGTTTCTGTGATGTGAATAAATGTGGCGAATTAATGTCTGAAGATTTTAATGGTGTACAAGCGAGCTTGCAAGTGCCCGGTTTTAAGCAACTGTGCCATTGTCACACTTTCCCAGACACTTTGACAAAATCACTTTATTCCACTCTCTGGCCTCGTTGTGTTTCTGATGTTTTTTCTATTTGTCTATATTTTCTGTATTTAAAAAATAAAATATTTGGAGTGAGCACCATTGCTTTGTCTTAAATGTAGATTTAAATATAGGTGTGAAAAGCACAAATCAAGCATTTATTTGAATTTTTTAAAAGATTGTTTATTGATTTATTTGAATCTGGTGTATTTTCCATTTATTTTTTGTTGGCTGTATTCGTCATGCTTTCTTTGCACTCTGCACTGCCTTTGTAGACATTCAAGAGTCTCATCAAATATGTCCTGACAGCGTTGGGAGAAACTCGCCCACTGACCTGCTCACAACACCTGTTTGGTTGTAATGGTGAGGCTGAATGTCTCGTGAGTAACTGCCTTTAGCTAACTGTTCTTTAGCTGTTGTTTACACAAAGTCAGTGTGTGATGCTCAGATTGGAATACAGGTCTCTCTTTATTAGCCTTCTGATTCTATTCTGATAAATTGGCGCTGTGTCCCCTGCCTATGATGGCCTATCCCAGTTGTCATCGGGTGATGGATTTCTTTTGATTTGTTAAAATTCTGTAAGTGAAATAATTTTTGCACCTAATCCAGGACAGAACCATAAACCTCCACTTCGCACAGACTCAGATATTCTTCTCTTCCTGGGATGACAACGTTAACGTAGCGGCCATCCATCCCGTTGCATTGGAACTCTTGAATGCCGCCTGCAGGGATGCTTGTGATCACAGCACACCTGGCAAAGGAAGCAGAAATCACTTGATTAACCTGGATACTTTCACCACGTCTCTGATGTAATGGTTTTGAATAACACTGGGTTCTTCAGATTTCACTTAGAGCTGCACAAGGAGACGACCATGAAGGAGAAAGCTGGCAAGTTTAATCTATTAATGTTTTTGCTTAATGGTTGGAGTCACAGAGCGTATTGATTAATGTACTGCTGCTGCCATCAGGACAGTAAAAGACAAAAATCCCAACTGAGGTCCAATTTGATAATGCTTTAAATTATGCTGAATTATAATGCGTTCAGTTTTTATTCTGTAAAGTACCTGGGATTGCTGTTGCCATTGTTGTCAAGAGAGTCTCCAATGCGAATCTCAGCCCCGTTGAGTCGTTCTGGGTCAGAATCAGAGTTGACTATCTTAACAGAAAACACTTTGTGTGTTTTGCGCAGGTCAAGTCGCCACCAGGGGATGTTGTCATAGCTTGTCTGAGTGCAGGATCCTTTTTCTGGGTTGCTGTTACGATTTCCATCTATGGCGTTATATGCAAGCCCTAAGGTCTCCACTGATGACTGCGTGGCTTTTCCTTGGAGTGCAAGGTTCTCTCCTGCAAAATATGGTTGAGGGATTTATGTTCTCATCACAGACACATCAAGACAGTTTACTTGAATGGATGAGATGATCAA